CACACGGAGTTTTATACTCACCCACGTAATTACATGAAGTCCCTCCACCATACCCGCGTGGGGCGCCGTTCGATGAGCAACGTACTCCGCTAATACGGAGGCTACCTGCGCCCGGTCCAGCTGTCCTGTGACCACTTCCTTGTGAAATGACACAAGAGCAAAGCGAACAATGTCCGCCAGCTCAAGCAGAGCATCCCGCGGTGTCAGAAGAACTTCCGATTCCCTTTGGCAAAGATCGTTCAGGCGCGCCATCACAGTGGCGATGCGGCGGGCCACGAGAAAGGTGTGCGGCTCCTTGGGCGACGGGGGCTGATTAATCGGGCTGTTCGGTGCGTACAGCAGTTCCGCTGCGGCACCCCACTGTTGCAGCCTCTGGGATGCCGTCAGGCCATCTTCCATCTGGGCGACACAGCGATGCTTGCGTGGCCTGCTCTTGGACATAACAGCGCAGCCAACCTTTTCGATCAAAACCACTGACAATGATCCAATGAAAAGAAAAGAAAAAGAAACGGAGAAAAAAACAAAAACAAAAAATGGATCAAAGCAGCTGCAAACAACCCCATTGGAAACCCAACTTCTCATTCCGTTATTTCCTTTTTTTTTTCTTTTTTTTTGCAGTTCGGTCTTTTGTTTCTTTTCTTCATTTTTTTCCATTCGTTTTCCCTCAGTGGACATGGGGCAACAGTAACGAGAGACTTCTGATTCTCTTCAATTGGGCTTCTTTTTCTTCCCCTCCTTCCTATGATGATGGCCCTTGAAGCTCCCACCGGTTCCCTTGCACTCCAGATATGCCAGCAGAAGGAGCACCAACGTGATGATGTACTGCACCACTTTGGGGCGCATTTTCTCCAGCTCCTCGTCGTCAAAGTACGTCGGCCGTCGCAGCAACGCATGTGGGATAATAAGCACGGTGTTGATCAGTAGCACGAGCCCTACCGTGCGAAGACCATGTCCAAATACAAAGAGAAGCAACAAGGCAATGAAGTAAATGTCCGCAAGACGCTGGTAGTGAACCGAAATACCACCAATGCGCATCGTTGTTCCGTACCTCGACCGTTTCTTCCTGGAGAGCTGGATGCTGTGCACCAGCAACGCGGACACACAGAAAAGGACGAAGAACAGCGGGTCATAAAAGATAAGAAAAGGCAGCGTGACGGTGTAGAAAATCACGGCATAATTTGCGGCAAAAAAAGGAATGTTGAGGTTTAGACGAGAAGCCACTTCCCCAAAATTCTTCGGAAAACAAAATTGCTCTCTGTCAAAAAAATCCCTGATCCACGGAAGTTCTTCCTTCTGAAGCTCCTTGCGGATTCGCCACACCTGTTGCAGGACGTCACGCAGACTGGAGAGGTCAACGGCAGATTGTGGCTGATGACCTTGTTCCGGTTCCTGCTCCTCCGTTGAGGCGAAGGTTGCCGTGGGGGAGCCCGGCAGCCGCCCTCTCGCGGAGAAATCGGCTGTGGATGATGAGGCAAATGAGCGCGGCTCGCTGCTGCTTCCAGAACTGTCCCTACCGTGCGGGGTATCGACGGGCCCGCCGACGCCACCCGTGTTGTTCCTCTCCATGCAGTGAAGAGGTGCTCCTCTCCTGGGACGCAGCGGGCTGACAGAAACACGTATTTGATTCTAAAAAAAACAAAAAAACAAAAAAAAAAAAAACGCGTATGGGTGCGTCAGAGAAAGAGTAAGAGAGATATAGAGACCAAGAAGGAAAAGAGCAAAAAAAAAAAAAAAAATGAAAAAGAGAGAAATGCGTGTGTTGACCCCCCACCTTCCCAGGAAAAAGAAGCACACACACGCACACACACACAAAAAAAAAAAAAAAAAAAAAAAAGAAAAATTTCTCCAATTCCTAAACATCCCGCCTTTTTTTTTATTGTCACCGATATTAACGTTATCCGTTTTGCCACAATGAGAGTCTTTTGCCGATTGGGGCGCCGGCGTAGTCCAGAGGCTCCTTCGCCACGCACAAGTCCCTCGCTTCATCGTGTTTGAGCGGGTCTTCTCGAAACGGCTCCTCGTTCTTCTCACCATCGCCGCCAGCCGACAGAAGTAGACGTTGGAGAAACGGCAGCCCCGGAAAGAAGCGGTGTGCGATGTACTGAAGATACATTCCCTTCACGTCGCACAGCGGGCCCGGGCGGAGCAGCAACTCCTTCAAATCCATAAAAAGACGTTGTGGGCGGGAGGTCGCGCGGTGGTGGAGACGACTCAGCCACCACGCGCAGCGGTGGGAGAAACCAATCGTTTTCGCAACGCGAGCGTCATCGCGAAACGAGCCGGAGAGAAGCGACAGTGACGAGGAACGACTGCCATCGCTATGAATGTTGTGGAGAAGATCGCTACGCCCCTCCCGCCGCAAGAAACCCCGCGCCCCGCTTTCGAGGCATTGACACAACAAAATAATAATCTCCATAAGCTTTGGTAGAAGGCCAACCAGGGAGTTTTGTCGCCGGCTCAATTGCAGCGTGCAGTTGCGCCGGAGAAACGCAAGAATGGGGCGTGTCACCGGGTCAAGTCGCCTCGAATACGGATGCAACACAAGGGCAGTCTCCGCTATCGTCCTCAAGCTGTGTAGGCTCACACCGTCCATGAGCCGAAGCGACGTTGATGAGATGTTTACATCCACCCGCGCCACCCGCGCCTCTTCTTCCGGGGTGCACACGACGTTGGGAGGACGACGTGGCAAATCCGCGTCCTCAGGAAGAACAGTACGGTAACACTGCTGCCACACGTAATCCACCACGCGGTAGCGTAACACAAGCGGGAGCTCGAGCTCGAGGCGCAGGGAGTCTACAATTTGATGAACTAAACAACCGTGTTTAAACAAGAACACATCTAAAGGCGCTCTGCAATCGTCACGTGGATCTGCGCTCTCAGAGCCGCTACTGCCTGCGGTCCACATTTCTGTCACCAACTCGTGGGCGAAAGAAACCCGTTTTTCTTGTCCTTTACCTGTCATCACCACCACCCAGGCGTCAAATACTCCCTCTCCTGCCTCCTCCCCCGCTCTACTCAATAATGGGCCTCTTCCCTCTCAAATTAGCAAAAAAAAAAAAAAAAATGAATGAAAAAAAACAAAAAAACATGCGTGGTGACATGCAGCTCATGCAACGACAATAGGGAGATGGATAGGAGCAGATATATATATCCCATTTGATAGTTTGAGTATATGGGGGGGGCGATGTTGGGAGATGTACGATGGGTCCCACCTCGCGTTACCTTCACGCCCCATAGAGAGATCGAAGGGTCTGAAGCTTGTCAAGTGGAACCCAACTTTCCGCGTTCTGCCGTGTCATTACTTCTCTTACTTGCAGATCCACCGATGAGTTTTCCCAGACATGTTTTTTGCATTGAAATACACTAAACGCAGCCTTCCATGCCCCCGCAACACGTAATGCACGCAGGGCAAAGAGGACAGCAAGCGACGGATCATGCGCGCTCGCGTCCCTCATGGCTGCAAGGGCCTCCGACCACCGTCCGCCTTGAGCCACGCAGACGGCAACATAACTGCTCAGCCTTAGATTTCGCCGCAACTCGGCCTTGCCACCATGATTGGACGGAGGAACCGAAGATTCGGTAGTGGGCAAGAGGGAGTCCCACCAGCTGAGACAACTCCTCCAGTCTCCTATTCGTTGCA